CTGACCCAAAGAGAAGAGTTTAGTGTTGGTTGCTAAACATCTGAGCTGAAATGGACATGAGTGGTCATTTATTTCCACCTTTAATTTGATGAGAGTGAAACTCAGGATTCTGTGCTGACATTGCCAGACATGCCGGAGGCCACAGTGCCTCTTGCTGTTGGTATTATTAATGCTATTAGCATCATCCACATCAAAAGAGCTTTTAATATTTAAGAGTTTAGAAAGCAAAAACATGTGAATTATTATAATGTGTTGTAGATAGTGTCTGCTGTGCTTTCAAATGACTTTTATCTACTTACAATTGCTATTTTATTGGATCTTGACTGGAAGGTACATATTGCTAATTTAATCTCCTGTCCACCCCACAGCAATGGAGAGACTCATGCCTAGCAAGGTCCAAGTAACATACAGGGGTCTCCACGTGGGCCGGTGATCCCTCAGCCCTCCCTGCTGGCAGTGCACTCCCTGGCCAACATGCTTCTTAGCCTCAGAGCCTGAGGAGGAGCCATCTGAAGCTATGTGCCATCCCAGTTCTACAGTGGAAATGATGCGCAGCTCTACATTCAGGAGGGGAGATGGGATAGGGAGTCAGTGGCCCTACCAGGCCAAGACTGTCCCAGCCACCACTTCCACCTCTGTACCTCTGAGATGCAATGATTCCCATCAGCACTTTTGCTTCCTCATTAGGAGCCATCTATGCCCCTGGATCTCACCTTTCTCCAGAGCACCCCGTGTCCCAGGCATTGCCTGTCTCCCTAGCGTCTCATGCTAGTCCTCACTCCTTTTCTTTTTCTTTCTTAGCAGTCTTGGCATCAAGTAGTCACCTATGAGAAAAACAATATTTTCTGTGTTCTGGGCTCTCTTTAGATGAATTTCTATAATCTTAGCTAAGTCTCAGAACTGTTTTGTATCAAAACTTACTTCCCCAAGCTTTGAGCTCCTTTCATGAGCTTTGGTATTCATGTTTCCCAACCCATTTACATCTTCGAAGACATGTGGGGATCTACCATACTTCTCTCCAGGGAACAAACTCCCAGTCTCCTGTGGGTACGGAAATGGAAAGAAGGGGTGGTTAATGAAGCCTACATTTATGACTGAGGCCACCGTACAAGGCCAGCTGCAGGGCAGGAGATTTCTCTGGTATGAGGCAGATGAGCTGAGGAGAATATACAGAACAGGTGCACAGGATAACAGGTGCAGGACCAGCCTGAGCTAGTCTGGAGACAGCAGGAAGCGGGGCTTTTTCCCTACCCAGAGGACACTGCTTCATTAGCCTCTTCTATGCAATCCACACTTACAGCCTGGACAGAATCCAGCTAGACTGCTTTGCTCAAATCCATGTCTGAGTATCCACAGGCCTGCATTATTCAAGGTTCTGCAACATTTACATAATAGGCAAAAGAAATCTCACTGTCATTTATGTGGAACCCAGGGGGCCATTGGAGTTGCAGAAAATGCCCAACGGTGCCTGTGACTGGACATTTAGAAAGCCATTTGCTGCCAAGGGGAAGAGCAGCATTACCCCCCACACACATTCATCACCCTGAAATGCACATCTTCCCAGGAGACAAGAAAATTACAATGGAAGAATTTTCATTAGGAGAACTCCAATGTTGTCCATGTGAAAACACCTTTCTATATTACTTAAAACTTGAAAAGAGAAGGTCATGCTAATTTTAGAAAAAGGTTGACAAGAACACTACCCAACATGCACTTAAAAAAAGAGCTAAGCATGCCTTCCAGGGTGTCTCGTCAATTGTTAAATAAATAAATGGCTATTCTATTTACTTCTGTATAGATCTTACTAATGTGCATATCAACATTAGGATCCCATCATTAGTTCTCATGCTCCCAGCCCAGCAAACTTGTAAGTTGCCCCCCTCCACATGGCCATCATTTTCAGACAGGATATGTTGGTTATGAAAAAAAGAGTGTTGCATATCACAAGGTGGGGGGAATCTATCAAAAGATGTGCAAGGTGATTGTGTAGGACATGATATGAATTTACTGAAAGATATTTCAATATAGATGATGTAAACTCATGAGTGGACACATCATGCCATGATGGAAAAGACTCCAGGTGGAGCATCTTGTTTCCCCAAACTTGTTTCACCTATATTCTAGATCCACTAGTTTCCAGTACAGATCTCCTGAGGATTTTGTTTTCAAATAAATCCTAATAAGCTGATTCTATCATGTATGTGGATGGACAAGGGCCAAGAACATCCAGGATCCCCCGAGGAAGGAAGGGTGGGGGCCTTACCCTCCTACCTGTGGATGTTCTCCTGACATCTGAATGATTGCAATATTTTGAAACAGGGAAAGGAAAGGGAGTGGAAAGAGAATCAAGGGAGGAGAAAGCAGGCTCCTGATATATGCAGTCTTACCTGCCAGAGCAGATACTTCAAGTGAGGGAAGGGGGAAGACAAGCTGATGATTGTGTGGTCACACTGAAATGCACATGGGGAAATGGTATCTGATACTTAAACACAGATACTTAAGGCCATGTGTAAAAGGCAACATATTAAACCTTGTATAATTCAAGTGTTGTATATGAGAGAGCAACGGGGAGGGCTTTTGGAAAGAGATGCTGAAAGCAAACTTTAACTTAAAATGTGATGGATTTGATTACATTAAAATTAATATTTATCTGCCCCCCAAATAATGCCATGAACAAGGTGAAAGAGCTACATATTTAGAGCAGATATTTGGGATGCATATATCCAAAAGTATGTTGTATCAAGCTCTATAATGAAAAGAAACTAATCAAATGCGCATAAAAACACAGATTTTGTAGAAAAGATATGGGTAAATCCATCCCCAGAACATAAATGCTTCTAGAAACATAAAATTTGGAATACTTCCTTGGGAAAACAGGATGGTGAGCTATATTGGTGAGCTGCGCATGGGATGGCCCTGTATTTGCTATATACATGCTTGTTTTATAATTTTTGACTATTATGAATACTTGTTTGCACATAGAATAAGAATTTGGATAGTTGTGTGTATTAGCAAAGAAGCTTCCACACTTTGAGCATAATCTCCATCATTCCTCTGGCTTCTCTCTTTTAAAATCTCTGACAGGACATGGTTTGGCATGTAAGAACTAAGAATGGCTGTTGAAGGTACTTTCAGCTGCCACAGCTGCTGGGGGATTCCACAACATGTGTCCTACTGAGAGAGACTGTCCTTGTAGCCTGTGTCTCTAACGTATCCCCCAGCTCCAGAAGCATTTGTATTTTTTTTTTTTTTGTATGACAGTGCTTGGCTTTGCTCAGTCAGGAGTTAGTGTCATGCCCTGTTGGAGGAGCTGGGAGAGAAGGCACACAGCCTTGTTCTGAAGGTGCCATGGCTCCACATGGCATCCATGCAGGTTCTGGGGCTAGACTGAGGCGGGTGTACCAGTTCACCTGAAGGGTCCTGGAATACACAGGCTCTTACACACCTACTTTTGCCTAGATGAACCCTGCTGGATTCTCTGGCCACCCCTTGGCTATCACGTGCAGCCCCGTGTGACAACATATTTGTTGTGCCCCCCAGCTGTGGTGGCCGCTTGCAACTCCGCTTTCCTCATCTCCTTAAACTCTAGACCCTACAACACACTGGGAAGCTGTGCCTCATCCTCTTCTTTTATTCATCAGCATTCCCTGGGTGACCTCCCAGCCCAGTGCCTCAGGTGACATCACAATGAGACCATTGCTATGAACTCGGGGCTTGTGTGCTCCCACCCCCACACACATCAGCATCCCTCAGCTCCACATATTACAGGTCTCTTTCTTCCAACACATTATACTGCTCTTTCACTAGAGGTCAGTGCCCTCCAGGTTCTCGCCAGTCTACTCAGTGCAAATAACTACACACTTCCTCTCAAAGCTCCCATCATGTATCTTACATGAGCATGTTTTAGAAAAATGTATTCTATTTTCCTCTTCATTTATTACCATCATTGCCTCTCACCTGGATTGTTTTAATTTTACTCTCCCATTTCTGTCCCTTTTCCACTTGCATTCTACTCTCCTGACTCACTCATATGAGGGTCCTTTTATTGCATAAATTTGAATAGGTCACTTAATTGGCTTAACTCTCCTCTTCAGTGTCTTCCTGGCTCAGAGAAAAAGTCAAATGCCTCAAAGCTCTGTTTTATCTGGCCTTCGGTCTTCCCTCTTCTAGGTATGCTCTGTTTTGCCTCAGGCATCTCAGGCATGCTACTGCCCCTGGACCTTTGCACCTTGAGTTCTCTTTCCCTGGGTCTCCATTCCTCCATCTTCAAAGTCAGTAATGGCCAGTTGAGTACATTTTTCATGTTTTAAATCTCTTCATCTGGCTCCAGCTGGAGAAAGTTCTCTGTTTTGTGATAAGATTGGGCTCACTGGGATAATCCAGGATAATCTCCTGATTTTAAGATACAGCACCATCTTTCCATCTGCACAGTGCCCATGCCATGTAAGGTAACATTCATGGGGGCACCTGGTCTTGTCTATCCATCTACCCTTCTCCTGAGGACAGTGTTGATAGCACATGCCTATTGCAGAGAGAAAGGTTTAGAGTAGCAAAAGTTGTCAGTGTGCCACACATATGTGTCACTATGTAGATCACACAATCATACTGGAACTCTAAGAAGTAGGTGCTCTTATTAGCTCATTCTATCAATGAAAAAACTGAGGCACAGGATGAGTGAGTTGTCAAAGTCACAGAGCTGGAGAAGATACAGGTAATCTGATCGCAGAGCTGATATTCTCACTGCTTCATTAAAAGAGAAAATACATACTAAGAAGCAGAGGGCACTGGCTTCTGAACACCCAGGCCTTTTGCATTTCAAAAGTGGGAAGGACCTGAGCTTCAGTGGCCCTATTCTGACCACCCTGCACTTTTTAGGTCATTCAGCATTAACTTTCCAGAAGTCCCCATCATTTCTCTCTCTCTTGCTTCTCAACCTCTTTATATTTTCCAGGCTGGGAGTGATTTCATGTTCATAACACTTTCTGTCTTCCGCCCCATAGATGCATATCCTAATTCTGAGGTCGTGTATGTCTGGACCAATGGCTCCACCAAGTCTGTGGTGGTGGCAGAAGATGGCTCTAGACTGAACCAGTACCACCTGATGGGGCAGACAGTGGGCACTGAGAACATCAGCACCAGCACAGGTGAGAGCCTGTGCAGCCAGGACCTGCAGAACACCACACCCTCTGGAAGCACAGGGTTCTGTGTCCCATTCTGCAGGGGCTCCACAAGGGGCACATCATGCCCTGGCCAGCAGCACTATCCTTGGCAGCATAGCTGTCATGAGTGCTGGCTGAAAGAAGGGCTCCTGGACAGACCCCTCCCTGCAGCTACACACACACAGAGGCACCAGCTGCAGCATCCGGGGAATTAAAGAGCATGTGAGGCATTAATCTGTAGTACATTTGCCACAGTGTAAGCAAGCCCTGCCTGGGGGTGAGTGGACCTGCTTATATAACACCCCCTGCCTGAACAGTGAGGTGCAGTCTCTTCAGAAAAGGGAAACGACTTCTTACAAATACTCTTGTTACCTGCTTTCCTGTCTCTGCTCTGAACATTTCAGAGAAGATCTCCCTGGGGTTGAATCTGGGGAAAATATAACCAAGCAGCATAAAAGGAATAGCTGAGTTGGTACTGAGAAGGAAGCAGATGCTGTCAATCCCAGCTGTGGGGGCTGGCCTGAACCTGCAGGGGCAGTCCAAACCTGAATTCACCTGATTTAAAGTGAGTGGAGAGGGCAAAGGAACATCATGCAGTTGATCTCTGGGGCCTTGAAGTTGTGTGGTCTAACATCTCCTGAGAGCAGGTTAGACTCTAGCAGTCACAAGGCTGCTGTGGGTGGGACAGAGGGCTAAGGGAGTACAGAGAGTCCCCACATAGCAGAGGGAAAAAAGCCCAAAGGATGGAACAAGTCCTAAGTACAATTGAGTTCTAAGTCTCAGAGTATGTCCTCAGGGGAGCCCTGTCAGCATCACCATGTGTCTGTGTGTCTGCAACACTCGCCTTTGTAACTAGCAGGCAGTATATAGGGCATTTAGGTCTGTGTCTGCCTCCTCTACGTGCACTTGCATAGGGTCAGGTCATGGCCCACTGATGGACCCTGTGCATGGCATTGTTGAGGGATGGAGGAGAGCCTGGCAGGATAGCTTCACCAATTGTTACCATGAAAAAAGGGCGAGGAAACAGAAATGGTCTGATTTTATGAAAATGAGTGAAAAGGTGGTATGGCAGAAGTTTGGAACTGTGGTGTCAACACAGGATGATACCATTTGTGCAGGATGATACCATTTGTGTTTGCTTCATGTAGCTCTTTAAAAATTGATAATTGAGGCTTCTGCCCCCTTTTGCATTCTCCAAAGAGGATCTGTTTAAGTGTCACCTGATTTTACTACCTCCAACTCAAAAAAATAAATTGAAAACAACAAAAAATAATCAAAAGTACGGGAGTGATTCAAAACCTTAGTGTACAGAAGTAGAATTGCATTTCACGTGTTCTTCAAGTGTTAAGAAAAGGAAAATCTGGATCAATGTTAATGATCCAGTCCTTCCACTAAACGTATCCCTTAACCCTTCAGTTTATCCCTGTTTCCTTCTTCCATGTCGGAGCCCACTCAGCCCCTCTCGTCTGCTCTTGCCTGCCCTGGGGTTATGGGGAAAGTATGTCCCATCACTGCAGTATGTCTCAGACATTCCTGAGAACTTGACTCCCTGTCTATAAGAGGGCAGATTTTTACCACATGTTGCCTTATGACTCCTTCATCTCTTGACATATTGTAAGTAAAAGCAATCGGGAGCATTCATATAACTCAGCCCACAGTAAGTACTGGCCCTGGCATCAGCCTCCAACCTCCCAACACACTGCCCACTACACATGCCACCAGCAGACCACTCCCCTCCTAGGAGATACCCTACCCAGGGTCTGGGTTAGTGGAGCCTCCAAGCCTGCCCTCTCCCTGTCCATAGGGTAGCCCAGCTCCCAAGCCATACTATAGACTCCTTGCAATTCAACCAAAGAAGTGTCATCCTGAGATCAGGTTAGCTCAGCATACACATGTCAAAGCATCCTTCCCATCTCTCCAGGGAGATGCACATTCAAGTGGCAACAAGACTCTGGCCCAGCAGGCCTCACTTTCCCTCCGACCAGCAGCCCACCCACCACCTCAGCTCCTTACCAGTTAACCATCAGGACAGCATCGTTCTCTGCAAAGAGTGGGAGGTCCCCTCTTGCCTCCCACACAGCCAGGCAAATCCAGAGAAGGCTCTGGGACATCCCCAAGGAAATTTTCCTGACTTTAAAGATCAGAGGACGCTCTGGTGGACAGTCCAAGAGAGGAGCTGTCAGGAAGTGACCCTGCTGGTTACCCTCTAACCAGCCTGGGCAAGCACAGAGCCCTTGGGGGATGGTGGTCGGTCCACCTTCCTGGAGTTTCCTCAGCTGCGAAATAGGAAGAATCTGTACACCCACAACAGGGCTCTGAGATACTCCGAGCTATTTCGACAAAGGTTAAATCCTGAAATCCTGATTGCAGTGGCATGCGAGGGGGCGGGTCAGAACATGGCACAGATTGTGACCAGGGATTAGTAAAACACACAAATCTGATTTTCCCTAGGAAAAGCATCCATCAGTAAAGGCTATTCAAAGGCTGAGGGTCAAAAGACTTACTTATAAAGGACTTGCTTTATAAGTAAGGACTTTATAAGGACTTATAAAAGGACTGTCAAGAAATTTATACATCCTCCTCTGTCCTCTCATTAACCAAAATAATACAAATAAACCCTTGTCCAAGATGAAGGAGGGATAGAGGGAGGGGCCTGGACTCTCCTGACTAGAGCTGGAACCAGTTAGGCCTGATGTGCATTAATTTGCTTAATTTGCTTGTTTGTAGGTGAATACACAATTATGACGGCCCATTTCCACCTGAAAAGGAAGATTGGGTACTTTGTCATCCAGACCTACCTTCCCTGCATAATGACAGTGATCTTATCCCAGGTATCCTTTTGGCTAAACAGAGAATCCGTCCCAGCCAGGACAGTTTTTGGTGAGTGTCCCTAAACCAGGCTTGGACATCAGTGTTCTGTGACTGATATAACCACCTTCAATGTAACAAAAGCACTGCCACTGCTATAATTTGGGACTCAATTGTTCCTCAGAGGCCCATGTTAAGGACTTGGTCTCTAGCCTGTGACACTATTGGGTAGTAGTAGAACCTTTAGGAGGTGGGGCCTCTGAGACAGGGTAAGTTAGGTAATGGGAAGGAGCTGTGTCCACAAAGAAAATTGTGGGACAGTGGTCTCTTTCTTTTCTTTCTTTTGCTTCCTGGCCACCATAGGTGAGCAACTTTGCTCCACCATATACTTCTTCCATGATGCGCTGCCTCACCACAGGCTCAAAAGCAACTCTGGACTGAAACCTTCAAAATTGTGAAACCTTTCCTTTTTTTTAATATTTATTTTTTCATTGTGGTTGGTCACAATACGTTTATTTTATTTTTATGTGGTCCTGAGAATCGAACCCAGGGCCTCGCATGTGTTAGGCGAGCACTGTACCTCTGCACCACAATCCCAGCCCAAAACCTTTCCTTTTTTAAAGTTGATTACCTAAGGTATTTTGTTCCAATAAGGGAAAGCTGGCTAACACATCCATCAGACATCGAGTGCTGCCTGTCCATTCTGTGATCTGGGAAACAAATTGACCAATTAATTCAGAATTTAAGGTTAAGCATTGGGATTTAGGATTTCTCTATGAATGATAGTTTAGAGAAAAATATATAGTTTTTTTTATAATTATTCCCATTTGGAAAGCCTTTCATTGATAGTACTTTTTAAGGTTTAAAATTGCCTGCATATATCTCTCTTAGGTGAGATTTTGCTGTAGTATATTTACAGTGCTCATAAAGTACTACTTTGTAAGTTATCAGGCATTTCCTTTGAAGTGTAAATACTACTTTAAAATTAACCACCATGTGGCAGTTTATATATTCAATATGATAGTGACAAATTAAACACACACACACACACACACACACACACACACACACACTTATAAATCAACCCTCTTTATTCAAAAATTCCATCTCCTTGATTCAACCAACTACAGATGGAAAATATTTGAAAAATAGTTGCAACTTTACTGAACATAAAATTTTCTTGTCATTATTCCCAAAAATGTAGCATAACAACTATTACATAGCATTTACATTGTATAAGGTATTATAAATTATATAGAGATGGTTTATAGTACATAGGAAGATGCATATAGATTCTATGCAAATACTCTGACATTTTATATAAGAAACTTAAGCATCCTTAGGTTTTTAGAATCTGAGCAGGTCCTTGAACCAATCTCCTGAGGGATGCTATTATATAATAAGATTCTAGAACAACATAATTTTATATTCCTAAGACTTTCAGTACAGAAAGATGTAGCTCAGTAGGTATCTTGGCACAGTGGACATAGTTGAACATCTCTGACTCTCACCTTAAAATTCACTGTAAGTCAGATTTTTACTATGGTAACAAAATACCTGAGATAAAAATTAACTTAAAAGAAGGGAAGGTTCATTTTGACTCTGAGTTTTGGAGTCCATGGTAAGTTGACCGTGTTGCTTTTGGGTCCTTCCATGAGGCAGCTCATCATAGCAGAAGTGTGTAACATTCACCTCATGATCAGAATATGAGATAGAGAATGAAAGAGAGAGGGAAATGTGCTGGGATCTCAGTATCTGCTTCCCAGATGCCTCTAATGCTGGAAGACCTCCCACCAGTCTCTACATCCTAAAATTTTCACCACTTCCCAATAGCACTATGGGCTGGGGACCAAGCCTGGTAGAGTCTGTTTCCTCTTGGAGATTCCCAATGCATGTTAAGATGTTAAGCAACCTGAGAAGATTTAAGGGGCTGGCACAGAATTCCTCCTCCAAGCACAGTGATTATTTGATTTCTAAGAAAAATCAAAGATGTCTAATGATGTCTCATTAAGCATTAATTCCATGCAGAGATTATGTTCAAAGAATATACGTAAATATCTTTAAGGAATGACTTGGTCTGAAAACAGATAACTGCTCTGACCACCAGCAATATTATGTTCCCTTGGTACTATATTGGTTTCCTGTGGCTTCCATAACAAAGTTCCACAGACTGGGTGTTTTAAGCAACGGAGCTTTCTTGTCTCACAGTTCTTAAGGCTGGATGTCCAAGATAAAGATGTTGGTAGGGTTGGTTCCTCCTGAAGGCTGTGAGGGAGAATCTGTTTCCAGCCTCTGTCCTTGGCTTCTGGTAGCTCTGTGGCTTGTGGTTAGCACAACTCGAGTGTTTATAGCATGTGCTTATTTGTCTCCAGATTTCCTCTTTTATGGTGAGGGAGGGAACTGGAGATGGAACCAGGGCTTTGAGCATGGTAGGCAAGTGCTCTACCATGGAGCTACAACCCCAGCCCCCAATTTCCCTCCCCCCCTTGTAATGAACACCAGTCATATTGGACCTAGGCCCAAACTAATGGCCTTATTTTAACTTGATTAATTCTATAGAGACTATATTACCAAATAGGATCAAATTTTGAGTTCCTAGAGGTTAGGGCTTAATTATATGAAGTTTAAGGGATTCACTGTTTGACCCACAGCAAGTATGTTTATACCCACATCCCAAACACTGTTACACACCCATTCAGAAAAAAACTTTTTTGGAAAGGGAGGCAGGGTTAGCATGTAGAAAGCACACAAACTGAAGCTTTAGGCCTAGCTCCAAAGATGGGATGTCTCCTTTACCAGCTGGGGAATGTGGGCACATTGCTAAGTGCTTTTATATCTTCAGGATTTCTCCTGCAAAATGGCAATCACGACTCCATTCCAAAGGGTGACCCATAATTTTGCAGTTCTAAAGGAATGCTTCCCCCTAAGGAATTTGGCCTTGTTGTATGGTCACTATAACATTTCCCTAGAGGCTGCAGGTGCCTTGCACAACAGTTTGAGGGGATGTTTTTCCTTCTTTGAGGGAGTGACATGCTCAGACTGATACATTGTTCCAGTTGCACTTTGCAGGTTGGGTTAATCCAAAGGAAAGAAAGTCCAATTTATCAATTTGCCTTGTACCAACTACTTATAAAACACATAGCAAATCTTTGTGACACACTTTGCTAAATGCTGTGTGAACATAATTGCCATTTTTCCAATGGAAATTGCTCTAATGCCACAAAGACACACCATTCACTTAAAATGTCCTCATTAAGCACCAATGATTTGCTTGGCTTGGTCCAAGCAAAAGCAGAAACAGCTATGTAGATATCAGACTAAAATCCCTGGCCTCCTCAGTTTGTTTTCTAGAGGAAAGAAACATATTGAGTAAGTGATATTTAAAATGCAATGAATGCCTGAAATATTATGAACACATCTAGACAGAGGCAGGTACAGGCCGGGGTTACAATTGTGTCATTGTTTGGCAGTGTTGTAGCAGGGGACTAGCGAGGGCCCTGCTGATCTGTTTCCATTCTTCACTCTACCTGCAGGGGTAACTACTGTGCTCACCATGACAACACTCAGCATCAGTGCTCGGAACTCCCTGCCCAAAGTGGCCTATGCCACCGCCATGGACTGGTTCATTGCTGTGTGCTACGCATTTGTCTTCTCTGCGCTGATTGAGTTTGCCACAGTCAACTACTTTACAAAGAGAGGCTGGGCCTGGGATGGCAAAAAAGCCTTGGAAGCAGCCAAGATCAAGGTACTGGCTTTAATTTCTTCCTTTTCCGTTCTTTCAGGTTCCCTTGACCAAGAAAGCATACTTGAATCTGTGTCTAAATAAGAGATGAGGTTCTCCTTCTTGCTTCTTCTTCAACCTCAGAATGATTCCTTCCCTTATATTCAAGTCCCTTACAAATTCTTTTTTTTAAACAGCAGATCACTTTTCTAATATATTTCAAATCACCAATTTTATTCAGTCAAAATTGTTGTTAGCTAAATGGTTTGGACTTGTTTATATTCATGCCTAATTTTGCAAAAAATAACTCCTATCTCTTCAGGTATGACTTGTCCAGATTTTAATTGATTCATTCTCCTGCTTGATCTTTTGCCACTTCCCCATGCAATGTGTCTTCTTCGGGGTGGCATTCAAACCAGAGAGAGGGCACACAGCCTCATGGGAGCATCCATCAGCCAATCATGCCTAGTACCACTGACTAAATGATTTGGCTAACTTAAAACATGCACATGCTTTGTGAAAAGTATTCCTCTGTTCAAAACAACTAATCATCAAGTATTTAACAGGTGACTTGTGCCCAAATTTAAGGAGCATTTGAAGGAAAAAGAGTTACACAAGAATCTAAGCTGAATCATATCCTTTGGGAGATGAGAGTATGGTACATGGATAGAAAATTAAACAGCACATGATAAACTGCTAATTATATCATGCACAGAACAAATAAATCCTTTGTACCGAGAGAAGAGGTCAGAGTCGTTGGGGAAGACTTAGAAATAAGCTTCGATCTTTCTTTTGGAAAATCTGCTTGAAAGGAGTCCCAGAAGGCATTATAGAAGACTTGAGTTATATGTCCTGACTTCCCTACCATGAACCACAAATTAGTAACTGCCAGCCCAGGACACTGGTTCCATTGAGGGCACTCATTTCTGTCCCATCCACAGCCGGGTATGCTCTTAGAGTTGACACATTTCCTTTCCTGAGAAAACTCAAAAGGTCTGACTTGACTTTACCCATCTGACTCTCTCATTTTTGAGGCCAAGTGTGCACTCCTGTGCTCCATTGTCACTCATGGAAGTGCCACTTCCAAGTCCAGCTCACTTTGTTGGAAGAAGGCTAGGCAGAACTTGCCTTGTCACGGAAGAGGGGAAGGAAAGGCCTGAGTAGGAGAGTATGGTACATGGATAGAAAATTAAACAGCACATGATAAACTACTAATTATATCATGCACAGAACAAATAAATCTGTTGTGTATGCACAAGGTCTATTTTAACAGTCTCTGTGCTTTTAAGTAGTATTTTATGTAAGTAGGCAAATGGTGGGCTTCCTGCTCCTTGCTTGCTGCCTATGTGTGTGCCTGCCCCAGTGTGGGATGTTTCTACCATAAAGAACCTGTTTGGTGGGTGTGTCAGTGTTACAAGGAACAGGGTTGATCTGACTGCAGTGGACAATGGGTAGGGAGCCAGGAAAACATTTGTAGAGATGGGGTGTTCTCAGACTGTGAAGGTTCTTGACCAAACCATTTGAACTTGATCCTACAGATGAAGGGGAACCAAAGAGGATATTTAATGGGGGAAGGAACAAGAAAGGAGTTTGAGGAAAAGATGCTTCCTGCACCTAGGTCTGGGTTGCTGGAAGGTAAATGCTTACCAACTTACTAGGTCTTCCATGGTGCACGGTAACAGAGTGAAGATGGCTAAGTCAGAAGTAGAAGAGCTATCAAGAAACCAGTGCATTACTTGAAGTTGTCTGGTCCATGATTGTGAGTCTAGTAGGAAAGTAAAGCCCAGGGTGAATGGAGAGACCTGAAATGTTGTGGAATGTTGTCAACAGTGTCACCATTACTATCATTTGACACATTCACACTCAGCCAGCCTACTGTTCTAGATCTAGATCTGAATGGAGACCTGGAAGAAGGAGGGGGCTTCTAGAATAACCAACTAGCCTCCATCAGTCTTGTAGAATGTTGAGATGAGGTGTTTTTTCCCCAGAAGACCACAGTACTGGGATTCCAGCCTTCCTTCCAGTAGGGCTTTGTGCAGTGAAAACATTAGACTTTTGGGGAGGCCCATGACTGAGTCAGTCAGCGTAGTGCTTATCTACTTGTGTAAACTGCCCTTAGACATATAAGGGATGTGAAAATAGACTGTGTTCACTTCTGTCCCATGCTGGGATCTACAGGAGCAAACACCAGATCAGGGTTTAGGTGCAAAGTAGTTTTCAGGGGTGAGGGCCTGAGAAAGCACAGAGGAGGAAGTGAGATTCAGCAGAAGACATTCCCCTGGGTGATGCAGGCCCAGCAAAGCCGAGGATAACTGGGAAGCTCTGGAGCAAGCATTCTGGGGCCATGGCCAGGACTTAGCCATCCCAGGTGTCTGATTCCTCAAGAACGATGTGACTCAGACAGGCAGCTTCTGCAGCTAAGGTGTTTCCTGAAAGAAATAATACTGCCCACAGCTGGCCAGCAACCTCTTTCTGGAAGGGGATTCTGGTACACCTCTATGTCCACCATAACAATTTAGACTCTCTTGAGTCCTTGAGTATTTGCTCCTTCCTGATGCTAATGCTTCTTAATTAAAAACACACATTATCATGACTGATGTGCCTTTAACTTTCTGAATCCATGGGTTTTGTATGGCATCCTTGGACTCAAACATTATAGATTTAAAATATTTGAGGAAAAAAAATGTTTGCATTGAACTTGTGTTATCTGTTTTCTTGTCATTATTCCCTAAACTACTTACTGTAAAGAAACTATTCACAAAGCATTTACATTGCTTTAGGTATTATAAGTTAACTAGAGATGTTTTGAAGTATATGGGAGGTTGTTCTTAGGTTAAAGACAGATACTAAGCCATTTTATGTCAGGGACTTGAATATCCTTGGATTTTGAATTCTGTGGGATGATGAGACAGATCTTGGAACCAATCCCTTCATAATACTGAGGGACCACTGTATCTCCTCAAGTGCCTCTTTCCTTGGTTACACCCAGAGTTGGTACCATCCAAAGCAGTAAGGCAAGGTTATTGATTCCTTCTGGCAGACTGGTATGGTGCTCAGATGACGGTGCGTGTTTGTACACAGCCAGTTTCTGATGTGTGGTCCCCTCCCTCCCACTCCCTCCTTACAGCTGCACCTGGCCCAGCATTTGCTCTTCCTGCTTACACTTACTCCCTCCTTTCTTATCCTCTCAGCCTGTATCTTTCCCCTATTTTTAATGGATTATATATTTCAATTCACTTTCTATCCTGTTTTCCAGATTTTATTTAATGAGATTAAATTATTTTGGTAATTAAAATACCTATTCTCCAACATTTTATTATGCATAGTTTAAAACATACAGATGTTTAAAAATATTTACAAAGAACACCTGTCCACTATTAATATTTTACTATGTTTATGTCATCACCATCTGTCTTCTCTCTCTCCGTCCATCCTTAATCCATCCATCAATCCATCTTTTTTTTTTATTGGTTGTTCAAAACATTACAAAGCTCTTGACATATCATGTTTCATACATTAGATTCAAGTTGGTTATGAACTCCCATTTTTACCCCAAATACAGATTGCAGAATCACATCTGTTACACATCCACATTTTTACATAATGCCCTATTAGTAACTGTTGTATTCTGCTACCTTTCCTATCCTCTACTATCCCCCCTCCCCTCCCCTCCCATCTTCTCTCTCTACTCCATCTACTGTATTTCATTTATCAATCCATCTTATATGTTGATTCATTTCAAAATGAATTTCAGATGACAGTACACTTCTAAATAAATACATCATTATGTAGATCATTAACTAGAATTCCATGTTGGTTTGTTGTTTTATTGTTTTTGAAGTAAAAGTCATATGGCATTAAAGACTATATTATTAAGATTACCTTTGCTGAATTTTGGCAAACTCGTACACCCATGTGCTCCAGATCTATATCAAGGTACATAACATCATCAGCTTCCAGAAAGTTCACTATGCCTCTTAGCAGGAAGTTTCTGTTCCCACCTCTCCAAAAGTAATCACTATCCTGATTTTTTCCTCCATTAATAATCTTACTTGCCTCTAGAATTTTATACCCAAGAAAAATGAAACATGCTAGCAAAAAAACATGTCACAGAATGTTCACAGCTGCTGAATCTATATTAGTAAAGATCAGAAACTTTCTAGGTATCCATCCATAAGAAACAAACAGTGGTATATTCATACAAAGAAATGCCCTTCAACCATCAAAGGAATAAATTACTGAAATAAGCCACAACATGAATGATTCTCAGAAGCACTGTATTGAGTGAAAGACATCTTACCCTAAAGGGTAAAGATTTCATAATGATTCTTAAGCACCCATTCTCTAGAGCTCTCCTATTGATTCCTTTGTAACCACACACATTCATCTGACTGATGCTCATAAAGGTAAAGAAATGATGATTAATTTCTGGTGTAAGAGAAGTCTTCAGTTTATGCTAGATTTCTAAGAAATGTCCAACATTAAAATCAGTACTGACTCTTGCTCATGACATATTCCCTGGGTGGTGGCTCTTTGGGTTATTTAGACTTAGAACTCCAAGGAGGCCTGCCATCTATCAGGGATGAATTGATATTTCTTCATCTTTTGAAAGGTATATCTTTAGACCTTCAAAGTGAGGGGTCAATTGCCTGCGGATGGCATGTCCTTACATTTTTATTATATTTTGCAGAAAAAGGAACGTGACCTCATACTAAATAAGTCAACAAATGCTTTTACTACTGGGAAGATGACCCACCCACCAAACATCCCAAAAGAACAGACCCCAGCTGGGACCTCAAATGCATCTTCAGTCTCTGTAAAACCTTCTGAAGAGAAGACTTCTGAAAGCAAAAAGACTTACAACAGCATCAGCAAGATTGATAAAATGTCCCGAATTGTATTCCCAGTCTTGTTTGGCACTTTCAACCTGGTTTACTGGGCGACATATTTGAATAGGGAGCCTGTGATTAAAGGAGCTGCCTCTCCAAAGTAAGCCACCACACTCCCAGACACCAAGGAAGCCATACTTCCAGCAAAATGGTACAAGGGAGAGGATGAGCTAAGAGGACTCTCCATATTTGGGCACTTTCAGGAAACTTTTGCATGTTTAATAATATGTACAAATAATATTGCCTTGATGTTTCTATATGTAACTTCAGATGTTTTGAAGATGTCTCATTGGTAAATAAAGCAAACAACTTTCTAGAAAAACAGAAGGCAATGACTCTGACACTCAGATGCTCAGTATCTCAACATCGATAGTTTACAACAAGATAAGTATATTTTTAACTGTTCCAAGTGTTACCTAACAATGTTTTTTATACTTCGAATGTCATTTCATACAAGATTTCCCAACAGATAAATATTTTAGGAAATGCTCCATGATTATTACTTGACCAACTATTGCAAGAGACAAAGATCACAGAGAGCACATTTTTCATTAAAAGGGAAACAGTGGACATTTATGTCCAAAAATCAATTGCCTTTGATAATTCTTACTATTCTGAAATTTGAAAAAGGTACTGCATGATCTGACATTATGAAATAGAATAGGCAAACATTTATGCAGAGAAATTTAATAACAGAAATGTATAGTATACTAGATTAGCCTACCAAATATTTCCCCAAGGAAAATTTCTAAGCAGTTAGGCTTAAAAATTCTTTTTTTTTTTTTCGTGTGTTGTGGGGGCGGAAGAAATTTATTTCCCACCCCACTTTAACCCCTCCACTAACTGAACAATGACCAAGAAAGAAAAGGAGATATTAAAACAAAAAGAGGTTTGATGACATTCTTGGCCTTGACCCACATGTTCACAGTCTCCAGAACATTGACCACCTCCCGCTGCCATCAGCGTGTAGTGCTTCAGTGGTGAGAAATTGTAACTTGAGTTATTTTCCATTATACTTCCTTGTATGTATTTCATGATTGACTTATTGCTGTTAGCTTTTGTATATGAATCTTCAATGTTCATTAAAAAACAATAAATGAACTGATCTTTTGGGCATACATCCTTTTTTTTTTTTTTTTTTTTAAAAAGAACCTCACATTTAAGTGAACTCATTTCCTTAAAACAATGTACAAGAAACTTATCATGAAATTACTTAGGGAAAAAAATAAAAGAAACTAAAACTTACCACTACCCCCTGCTCCAAACTAATTCTGTGGAGTAGGACTTGGAGAGAAAACTTGATTAGACTATAGTGAGGGCACACAGGTACAGCCAGATAGTCTGTCCTGTTACATCTCAGTTATGTAATGTCCCTTAGGCCTCTACTTGATGGAGTCTTCCTGCAGTGTGTTTCCATTGTGTTTTCTGTGGGTCTAGTGACTGCTGGTCTTAGCTCTGCACTTTCCTTTAGCAGTCTGTGAACACTCAGCAGAGTACTACAATTGGACCTTCTCCTTACTGTGTGAATAAGTTTCAACAGGCATGCCCCTTCCATGGCTTACTTGGAATTCCAGATTCATAAAAATGGAGTTATGACTACTAACCAATAATATAAAAAAGCAGGCCTGTCTAAATGGATCACATGCCCTGGTTCTTTAAATATGCAAATATTCCATCACCTCATGGATAACCGGTTTTAGGATTTCACAAATAATATGGTAACAGGAAGGACGCTTTTCAGTGCTCCCATAAAAAGCATTTCCCTGTTACAAGTGATGATTTTATCTTTAGGATAGTGTGTGTGCTTTCTATTACATTACAACATGAAAGTCACAAAAACAGCAAACCTGAAGCTCAATATGAAGTTCCTGTTTTCATTTGTCATTGTTATATTTCTCTCACATGTTCTTTAACTGCAGTTTTGTACTGCAGTTTGGAGAAAAAGATACTGTAAGTTACCACCAAATGTACATCTTGACTATTTCAGACCTGATGGGATGGGATGTCTTCCTTATCAAGTTGTAGTGATTTTTTTTACATGTTCTAACTTTTATTACAGAAAACCCTTGCTGAGCTTCAGTTTAGAAATATGCTTACTGTATTACATGCTGCTGAAAATTTAAACTGTTAAATATTTAGTGAAAAAAGAGCATATTCCTTTTCAGATCTCTGATTTTGTATTGCAGATATTTCAGGATTTGTTATTTTTAATTAGAACATAATAAAGAATAAGCTTGGGGGAAATGATAACAGGGAAAGAAACAAAATTTTCAGAAAGTAATTATAAATTATAATGTCCTACTTTTAGAACGAGGGTATTCAAACATCCCTTTTGATATCGCCTCAAATAGAAGATATCAAGTCCATAGTCAGAATTAATTCTGTACTTTCTTAGAAATTGACAAGTCCATCTCAGGAAAACCTTGGATAAACTTGTTCTGGTTTGCATTCAATAATTGGGTTTAAATGTTTTGGAGAAACTAAAATAGTACTGCAAATGCTCTCTGTCAAAGATTGGTAGGGATATTATAAATCTTCTCATCTATTTGTCATGTTAATGTCTTAGATATAGTGCTGAGTGCTGTATGTCTCTCATGGGACATGTTATGTGAAGTAGGTTCATTAAATGGGAAATCTCTGCTTTATAAATTGGGATACTGTAACCCAAGGAGGAAAATGAATGGGCTCAAAATCATATCAGAAATTAGGAATAAAATGGAGGTCTCAGTTGCACTTCTGAGTTCCTAAGTCTCAGTTCATAACACCATGCAATTGCTTCTACAATGTTACTGGTGTTGAGCAAAATTGTAACCTAAAATGAAAAATCTTTCTTCAAGACCTTGAAAACTCTATTAAGAGAGTGGTACCATCTTGGAGGCATACTCCTATAAATCCCAGATTCCTGGGAGGCTGAGGTAGAAAGAGCATAAGTTTGAGGCCAGAATAAATACCTTAATGAGATCCTTGTCTCAAAAATTAAAATGGGCTGGAGCTAAGTATACAAGAACCTGAATTCAATCCCCGGTACTACATTTTTTAAAAAATGCCCCAAAGAATTTCTTTTAATACTAAAAACATGATGTTTAAATCTGTCCTTTCTTGGGTAAAATTTGTGTTACTGTGATCTTAGAAACAGGTCTTGATGGAATGGTCCTAAGTTTGGGTAACATTCCCCTACCCATCAGAGAGGGGGTGTGGGGGAAATGCACTGACTGAAGCCAAGTATTTTGATGAGATTGCTCCTTCCAGAGAACTGATATGAATGATTATGGCGGTTAAGTCAGGAATGATCTACCTCAAGTAGAAACCATAACTAACTATGACACTGAGTCTTTAATCAACATTAGCCTTCATTGTAAGAATTAGCTTCACGTTAAAAAGAACCTTTTCCTTGGAAAATTGGAAATGGCACAGTTTACTCTGTGAAAACAGTGTTTTAAATATTTAAAAATTAGTCTTAATGTCTTTTTTTACAATAGTAGCACATCTGGGACAATCAATGCCCTGAGCAAACATGGTGAGTATTTGAATATGAATCACTCTGATCATAGCAATTACTTAACAGGTTTGCAGGGATGAAAGGGAGAGCTTTTGAAGTGTGCAAAAAGGTTCACTTCATCAAAGATTTGCATGATTATCTGTTTGTCGTTGTCATTTTCAATAGTCTTATCAACCCTCAACTCAAAGGCTCTATATAGCCTATTTTGAAATAAGCATGGGATCTTTGTGGAAATTTGGGCTTCAAAAAAAATTTCCTGGGCTGGGGAGGTAGCTTAGTGGTAGAATGCTTGCCTAGCATGTTCAAGGCACTGGTTATGATCCCCAGAACCACACACACACACACACACACAAATTCTCTTCAAAATTTCTGAAATAAAATTCTGAAGACATACTCAGAAAAAAACCTCTGAAGAAATAGGATTACATAGCTCTTCTGCATTCAAATTGAAAGGCAAAACCAAGTATCAAACAGTATATATTACAAAGTGATATCTTAGAAAGGAAAATTTGTAATCAGTTCTAACTGACCTCATACAGAATATACTAATTCTACATTCTTCATGTTGTTCCCACCATCTCTCTAGCAGCTCGGTGTTAAGGTTCAGTGAAGATGGACTGACTGAAGGAATGAATACTGGAAAGTGGGTAGACTTGAGTTGATGAAACCCCTTCAGGTAGGGATTTCGATAGTGGTCATATCCTATCCCAGGAAAATTTTTTCTTACGTATTACAAAATGAAAATTTCATGTATTTTATAAACTTAACTATCGTTGACCTAACAATTCTGGCAATACAATACCATGTGGTGACAACTGTCTGGATTTGAGTAATGGTGTGATCCTTTATGTGGGGTGGCCATGTAAATTTATCATCTAGATGTGAGACTTTTGTAATTGTGAACTGAGGTTCTTAGTAGTCCTCTCCCTGTCAAAAGTTTTAAAAACCGGAAAAATAATCCAAAGCAGTCATTTCAGAACTCTTAAAGTATAAGAAATAACATATGACAAATTATAAAATTATAAATGTGAAATTATAATTCTGAATTTTAAGTGTTTGGTGAAAATAACTACCAAACTATTTAACTCCCATCTCCTGACCTTGATATGGTACCATGAAGACCAGCAATCTTGCTGCCACCAGAGGGAGCTGATTTAATTTGTAATTCTATAAAAAGTTTCGTTCCCAGAGGCTTGCCACTATTTGACATGACTTGGAGCTCTATGGAATTATCTTATTCCCAAGGCATTGTTGAGTTCAACAGCAATCAGCATCAATTAGAGGAGGTCGATGGTGCAGCTTCCCAAGGCAGTGATACAAGTTGGGGCAAAAAAGAAGTCAACATAATGGTCAAAGAAAGATCTAGGGAATCAGATCTAGTCCATAGGAGCTATCAAAACCTCTGACATGCTCCCGAGAATCTGCAAGCCTGTGTTCATGTACACTGATATTTGTACAGTTAAGAAAGTGTCCAAAAAAGTGCTAATTATCTGAACTTTGAAGAAATGATACAAACCACACACTGATTCTCATAACGAAGTATGAGAAACTTGCTAACATAAAGCACTCAAGAAAATACTGTGTGTAATCATTTGCCGAACCTTAATTTTTATATTAAGCTGATATGAAGTGAAGGTAATCTGTACAAA